TACCTCATTTCAGTTGAGTTAACAAGCACCAGTTGGTGGCTAATTCCAATCTCCAAGACGAAGTGCGCAGGTTTTAATCCAGAAGTTGCTAAGCAACCGATCACGCTAAGATGACGTCACAACTTTCAAAGTACTCGCGAGTGCTCGCGCCATTCTTGTTTGGAAATGAAAATCTGTCTTAAGCTTTGGGGTATTGGTCAGTAAGATTTGGAAATACTCGGCTACGTGTACGAGAATTTTTTTTCTGTGTTCTTCTGGCTTGTTCTCTAGCTCGGGGGCTACTCCCATATATAAGCTATATTGGTATGTGCCGCTGTAAAGGGTGTGGTTTTCAGGCAGTTTAGTCTGGGATAGAGTATAGAAATCAGACAGGTTTGGTCTAGGATAGGGCATAATTTACCGGGAAAGCGGACAGTGTTTAAATAATTTAGTGCGGAATAGGGTTCGGTAGGAATACGATAACGATAAAGTTTCTGCACGGAAAATAGCTAGTCTGGTATAGGGTAGGGTTTTTCGGTGTTAGTAGTCTAGAATTGGGTTGTAAAATCAAGCTGATCATGGTTAAGTATAGGGTAAGGGTTTCAGTATTCCAGCGGCAAACCCACACCCAATGATTTACAGAGTACCCCCCTAACTCCCTTCTGCTCATCAAGTCAGTCTGTTTATTCCACAGCACTTCCGTTTGGATGGGAGGAAGCTTATACCACAGATGGAGTCAGATATTATATTAAGTAAGTCTCGTCTATAATTCAGACACGTTGTTTTCTCGAACAAACCGCCTGAAAGATTTATTTGTCGTGACATCAGAATTGAGAGTTTGGACTTGGTAATGTTGAAAATTCAAGCTAGAAAATGGTGTGATTATTTATCCACTTATTTCATATCATACATCAGTACTAGTGGTTGTTAGGAAACCCATAGCTTTGCCAAACTCCAATCAGATTCAGACTTTACATTCTCTTGTTTGTTATGTTGCCTTGCAGTCACGTGACGCAACAGACGTCATGGCTTCATCCTGTCAGTCAAGTTCAACATTTGCCACCTATTGCGGAAAACGAAGATGGCGTCAGGGAATCGCCAACGTGACCCACACTGCGGGACACGTGATTTACACATGCTAAAAACAATAGAAGTCCACGTGATTTACATGATTGTAGTATTAGGTTGCGTTTGATGCGAGTTGTTGTAAAAAAGCTGCTTTTTTGAAGTGTCGATAATACTTTCTCCTATTTATTATATCAGATATTACTATCAAACAATGCGCTAAAGAGTATTCTGTAAGATGTTTTCATGTTAGGACTTGAAGGAAAGAAACCGTGAAGAAATGGCCATTGGTGTTATCGGTGTAAAAGTGACGGAAAATAACGAATTTTTATATTGAAAAAAAAAAAAAGAAAAAGGAGAAAAATGGAAGCAAGACTCTGAAGCGCGCCGACGTTTTGTAAGCCTTCTTTTATCGAGAGGCAAGCGTTATATGCAGTTTGGAAATAATTTTGGAAGGGATGAAACATGGCCGATTAATTTCAATCGTTTTTCAGCTCCTTCAAGTTATTATAGGTGGCAATTAGACTGAAAATAGGTTTACCTGAATTTTATGCATCCAGTATATTAAATTATTTTACCCGTGTGCCCAATTGGATATTATTATTAAAAGTCTGACTAATTTTATAAATCACTGATAAA